TTTCCCAAAATTGGGGGACCCCAATTTATTATAGTCCTTATTATAGGGACCCCCAAAAAGTACCCCTAATTTTGGGAAACCCCCATATACTGTCTAAACTCCAAGTATCCCTATAAACGAGTATTGTAGCAGCCTAAACAATCACAAGTAGTATCACGCATATTATAATATACCCCGAAACCCCCCTTATTACAACGGGACCCTGTAGCACATCATCTCAAAACCCCTCCACTTTGCACAGCCTTTCATGAAACGAATCCAAATGCAAGTTCTGTGCTTTCCAAATCATGACATGCAGGCTACGCTGTCGACTACAGCTTGCACATTGCAGCTGGGTCAGCAGTACTATCATGTGACAGCCCCAATTTTGGGGCCGAGGTTACCCAAAAAAAATGGTTACACATGCGGGATCTTCTGGACTTGTTGAGGCACGTGATTGAAATGCCCCGGTACATGCAGACGGAGGCTGGGTGGGTTGGGGGGACGGTGGGCTGGGAGTTTGGAAGGGCAACAGCGTGGTGGGAGGGTGCGCAAGAGGGTGGGAGGGGGAGGGTCTTGTTGCCTACGCCTGCGACAAATGGAGTTTCCCAAGCCAGGCATGATCCGTCATTGGGGCCTCTATCCACTACCACAGAGCCGGCAAACACCGTGAAGCTCATGTATCTCTCAGGGTCTTCTTGTACTTGGATGGCTATAACATGGGGCTGTGGGTTACCCAAGGCCCCAGACATGAGGACCCTATGACTGCCATATGACTCTTACAGATTCCTGGTTACACGTGATGGGGTCACCAGAACCCGTCTATCACTGAACCATATATAACCCCAAATCTAGGACACCATGTTCCGTCTTACTTTGTTGATTATGTTCTATGTCATTTCCATTTCCTAGATATCCGTATGTACCCCAAACCCTAAACCCTATCGCCCTACAACCCATGACCCCTTCAACTGACTGGCTCCTGGTAGGGCATAAGGGAATAAAATCCCTATACAAGCCCTATAAAATGGATTCCCTGATTCCCTGATCCCCTACAAACACCAAATAAGTCAAAGGGAGGCTTAGATCCTAAACTCTAAGCCGAAACCCTAATAAACTCTCCTGTTCTTGCCCGAGGTCTACAAGTATGGCAGCCATGAGGCGCTAGACGAAGACGACCAGGAATGGCTAGGCAGGGTTCAGGGTTTTCGTGTTTGAGGTTTAGATTGTAGGGTTTAGGATTTGGGGATTAAGGGTTTAGGGTCTTAATGTTTAAGGATCAGTTTTGGTTTAGGGCTTTGATTAAAGGTCACGGGGTCAGGATGCTTAGGGTTTCGGGTATGGGGTGTGGACTCCCAAATTTCCATGTATCTACAGGGTATATACCTAAGCCCCCAGATGTCCCGACAGGGACCAGATGGAAACCCAAGTACATAGTAAACCCTCAACGCTAAATCCCAATCCCTAAAGCCTGAACCCTAAACTGCAAACCTTCATCCCTATCCAGGTAGCCCGGGCCCCTTGGATCTATTGCCAGAGATATCCATGAATATGCAACAACTTCTTTGGACACGTATTGGGACATGCAGGGTGTATGTATGGGGGTTGGCGCAGCGACGCGGTAGCCATTTCAATTTTCAAAAAGTCTGCAGCGTCCGTGTCCGTTTTGCGGACGGTGCTAGGACACTTTTTCTCACTAGTGGTTACTCATATATTCCCTCTATAATGCTTATATAATATATTCCATACTAGCCACCAGTAAATTTAGGGTGAGGGGGTGAGGTATTGCGAGGGGTTGCGGAGGCATTCGGCGTCTTTTGATCGATCTTTTTGGGTTTGTCGTGCTCCAAAAAGACATGGAATCCCCAAAAGTGACTTTCAAGACTTCTTTCAAGACTTGTGACTACTGTCCTGTGGACAGCAACCTTAACTGGGGTGAGGGTACGACCCGAACCCTAAACTGTATTTTCAATATCTTTACAATTCCTTACTACTTTTAGTTTCCCGTACCCGAAACAGCGCTTGAACCTGCAAGTGGAATTGCAAGCAAGATCCAAGGAGCGTCTAAGACTCAAACGTTCTTTGGGGTTGGGTGGGGTACTGGCCCTACCTGGTAACTGCTGGATTATCCTTATATTCCAGTTAGGATTTTATAGCGATAGTGTGCTGTTACAGAATGCTACTGGGTCACGGCAGTACCCCAGCATGCAGGTTTAGGGAGGCCCTTCATCATGTGAGTGTGGCTTCTCTGTTTTGTCCTGAAACCTAACATGGTGCTAAATGCATTCTGAGAAAGGTCAAGGGGAGGACGGCGCTGTAACCAACACATACTTGCAGGGTAGGTGAATACGTGGGATAGTTGGAGTTGTTTTTTGGTTTACAAAGGTATTACGTATTCTTATATTCAGTCTCCCTGACCCTCGAAGTACTGTTTGTTGAAGTTATTCGGAACCCTAAGGGTCCAAGGACCCAAATAAAAGGGGTTTTAGAGCCCAATTACTATAATATCAGTGGTAGTTGGGCCCTAAAGCCCCATTATTGGGTCCTTGGACCCTTAAGGGATTGAGGGGTAGTCGTAATTGTTGATGATTTAGCTAAGGTTTGGTGTGCCAGATGCATGAGAAGAGATGAAAGATTGTTCAACCAACTTCAATACAAGCACTCCTAGAGACATCTACCGTACCTGTTGATTCCGTACATCCCAAGGGTCAACAAAGCCCCCCTCAATTATGTACCCCCGAGACAAGGATTTACTTTAGCTAACCTAAGCCTTAAATCCTGAACAGCTCTTAGCCCTAATCTCACAGACCAATTAATTCAAGGCCTTAACCGCAAGCTTTGCCCATTGCCAGATCCAAATCGAGAAAATAAATTTAGAGGTTAGGGTTTGGGTTTACTGTTTAGCGTTGTTAGACCCTAAATCCTTAACCCTATAAACCCTAAACCCTAAATCCTAGACCCTAAACCCTGAATCCTAAACCCTACGCCCTAAATCCCAAACCCTAAACCCGAAATCCTAAACCCTAAATCCTAAACCCTAAACCCTAGCTC